TCTTGACGTCGAATTGTTTGATAGGCATTTTCAGGTCGATGGCCAGAACCAGAAGGGTTAGAAGCGATGGAAACTTGCCAGTGGGGGCGAAGGTCTCAAAAAAATCTTCGCCATAGGTTTGAAGGAATCCCTGAATGCACAAGCGAGCCTTCTGCTTTTCGACTGAGGAGTTGGTAGCTGGCTTCGTCTTGAACACCCATGTATGAGCAAGTAGTTTACTGGGTTCTTCTTCCTGATCAAGCCAGACGTCGTGGTCTTCAATGTTGTTCAGCTCATCATCAATGGCCTTCTTCCAGCCCTCAGAATTGGGTCCGGTGACGGCTCTTTTGAATGACTTGGGGTCGTCCGTGAGATGAGAGTGCGCGGTGAAGTGAGAGTATTTTACAGGTTTCACCTGCAAGGTTCGATCACGAAGAATTCGGCCAACAGGGGCATCAACAGCGGGAATAAGTCCTTCAGCCACTTCAATCTCGTCGTCCTCCGAGTCGGAGTTCAGTGAGTGAAAGTGCTCGTTGGAATCTTCGGATATCACCTCTTCCTCTTCCTTGATGTCAGGATTATTATCCTCATTCTCTTCTTTATCAGTATGAGGCATTTTTTTACCTTCTTCAGGTTCGCGTTCTTCAATCAACTCATTAACATCCAGAGACGCGGAGACAGTTGCATCAAATTCCAGAAATTGCACGTTTTTTGAGTCAACGATCTTTCCGTTGGACAGTAGGATTTTGTAGGATTTCAGATCCACGTTGAATCCGAGTAATTTCCCGAATTCTCCCCGAGGTTCCAACTTGGGCTTACTTCCATTTGATACAAGCACAAGTGGATTACCGATAGGTTTGAAGTACTGAAGGGGAATGGACTGCATTTTGAAGAGCTCATACGGCGATTTCTTGCTGCGATGAGTCGGAATTTGATTTAGAGTAAGAGTGCAAGCACCAAGAATCTCGTTCCAGAGTGAAGGACTAAAGCCAGAGTCAAGCAGATTGGTTCTTAGTGATTCCAGGATGGTCCGATTAAATCTCTCAGCTAATCCATTCTGCTGAGGGGTGTAAGCGTCTGAGTAACGCTGCTGAATCACGTGTTCCAGACAATATTTAGTCAGCTCAGAGTTGATGAACTCTGTTCCTCGGTCAGAGTGGAGAATCGAAGGATAGTAACCCAATCGCTTGGCTTCGACGTCGATGACATGAGTGAGATTTTTGAAGGTGTCTGATTTGGCGACCAGGGGAATTGCTGATACGAAGCGAGTATTGGCATCGACTATTGTCAAGATGTATTTGTGTTTTTTGTGAGACATGCGAGCAATAGGTCCAATCAGATCAAGATGGAGCTCCTCCAGTGGTTTGGAGGCGGATGAGGATCGATGTTTGTACGAGGCTTTGGTGACTTTGACAACAGCACACGATTTGCATATCTCCGGTGTCTTGACAGGGATTCCCAATTTCTGTCTTATTCGACTGTAGCTAACATGTCCGAGCGACTTATGCAGGATCTCGGCAGAAGACATATGAGAATGAGGTGGAGGAGGTAATAATTCGATGACAGGCAGATTGTGTTGATACCGGCCGTCTAAGTAGGGCTGGCTATCCTTGGTGATGGTGAAGTGATTAATGGAGAAATTTATGATGCATTGCTCGAGAAGGAAATGGCGCAGAGATAGAACATTGACAGTTATCTTAGGAACAAGCAGTACGTTATGAAGAGTGATAAGTTTATTTTTAAAAAACAGGTCAACCGATCCTTTTCCTTCGATCTTGAGGGTACTGAAGCCGCAACTTGTGTTTATCATGCCGCCTTCGCTCTCGTCTAGATGGGTGAAGAGGTTCCGATCAGAAATCATATGCGAAGTTGATCCGGAGTCTAGGATAAAGATAGAGGGTTGGCTGAGTGAGAAAGTAGAGAATGAGCTAACATGTGAGTCTTCCTTCTTCTTCATGAATTCGGCCTTTTTTTCGGGGTAGACCTTCCAGCAGTTCTCCTTAGGATGCGATTTCGCGTAAGGATTGTGATGACCAGGAATGCATCGGGGATCTTCCTTGGTGAACATGGATGTTGCAATCGATTCAGAGTTGCTTGAGGATGAGACTTTCAGCTCGTTGAGATGTATCTCGAGATGGTCCAACAGGGATTGAGGTTTTATGTCCTCACCGTTCCTTGAGTGGGTGATGGTCTGCTTGATATTGTCGAGGCTGTTGGGGAGACGACGAAGCAAATCGTACGTGATGATATCTTCAGGGAGAGTGATACCCACGTCTTCCATCTTCACTAATGAGCTTCTGACTTCGGTTATGAACTTCTCGATGTTGCTAACGTCGAATGAGATGTTAGCAAAGGCGTTGTACACTCGAGCGCGGTTTGAAGGCTCGGACGAAATAAACCGTTTAAGGATGGCTTTCCAGAGGAGTTGTGCGTTGACTTCGTTGATCGCGGTGACAACATTCGTGTGAGTGGTAGGGGAGATTTTTGCGATGATGATTGCACAGAGCATAGTATTGTCATCGTCAGCAAGAGCCGGTTCTCCTTCAGCCATTTGTTCCTTCAGGCCGCCTAATTTGAATAGAGCGTTGATTCGAGTTCGCCAACTGGAGAAGTTGTCCTCAGTGAGAGTAGGAATAGCCTCGATGGTCATTTTCAGGATAGTCGGGTTAACGGCCTCCATCGTGTCCAAGTAGTCTTCTGGTTTTTAGTTTTGGAGTCGGGTTTTCGAGGTGTGATTCGACTGTTAATCGTAAAGGAATTTGATTGATTGCGAGCAAAACTAAAACCAGAACTAAGAAGGAAAGAAGAAATAATAAGGATCAATCAAAATCAAAGAAGAGAAGTAAGAAGAAAGAGTCAAAGAAATTAGGCATACGATTGTACTTGATGACAAGAGTAATTGAGGACTATTCTGAAGAAGTGAGGTAGATTGATGAAGACACACTATGAGAAAAGATCCAAAAAGAAAAGGAAAGAAGAAAATGAAACCGCATCTTAAGTGGCTTTTGACAACAAACAAAG